CAAACCTATTGAAAAGCATGCGGGCCAGCAGCAGGTCAGTACAATGTGCCGCAGCATAATTTGTCAGGCCAACTTTCACACCATACTTTGGGAGTTCGTGAGCATATGCTGCACAGACCATAGTAACCCCTTCTATATGGACATAAGCAATCTGGAAAATGACATCACTGCTGACTACACAATCATCCTGTATTTGGGTGTGTTGTATTTATTTTTATCCTGAATTACCAAATGTTTTTGAGCATAGTTATCAGTTTTACCCTCTCGTCTTCTTCTAAATTTCACTTGGTATCTCTTGCAATAGGCCTTGTTCTTGACAACTTTAACAAAACCCATCTTGTGGAACAGAAGCCGGCTTCCGCGACTTGCCACAGACTTGTGCAGATCCAGCAGCTGTACAGTGGGGAGAAAAGACGGGTGTTTTTATCTTGATCCATTTTCTCTTCATTTTTGTTTACCAAGGCCCTGGCTACTAGAGAGCTCTCATTTGGTACTGGCCTTCACCCCACCTAGTTTGTGTCACAGACTTTACCCCGGGGACTACTTCCTTATAGTTACGTGCCCAAGCCTTCTTACTGAGCGGGCAGGAGATTTGAGTAGCTTCTGTGTGTCTTGCCATGGCATCATGCTGTTCCTCTTGACATACAAGCCAGTAAGCAGTGACTGCTCACGTTCCAGTAACTACTGGTCCTAATGACTGGGTTGGGCCAGTGTTTGCCTGAGGTGTCAGTCAGGACCATGTTCAAACACTCCCTGGGGGCTGTTTGCACAGCTTTTGGCCTACGCTAGCCCTGCTGTGGATTACCAAGCTGCTGCTGCTTCTCCTTGTGTGTGGAAACTGTGGTCTGGAGCTGCTTGTTCACAGATGATTGAGCAATAGGCATCCTGCTAAATTCTTCTTGCTTTTGTTTAGTTTGCTGTTTTTCTTTGTGCATTTTGCAATAAGCAGTTTAGCTGCTGGTTTTCTTCTTTTCTCAATTAAGCAGTCTTCTGTCTTTGTCCATACTTGGGTTCACAGAATACCGAAAGCCAGCTGGGAAAGGTGAAGCTGAGACAGAATGCCCAGTTCTGTCTTGTGCAAGTGAAGCTGTATGTGAAGATGTGTGGGCACAAATGGGGATATAGTGTGCTTTTCAGGCTGAATTTCATTTCTTTGAGATTAAAATCTGTGAGTGGTCATTTTAGTTATGTAAGTGGGTTTGTCTCAGTTTTTAAAATTATGAAACATTTCAGAAGTATAAAATTTACAGTGAACAAAATAATTAATACCTGTGTGCTCATTCCAGCTTTATCCAGGCTCACCTCATTACAAAGCTTCTAGTTTTTCAGTTCCAGAGAAATACAGGCAGTGGCAGAGGAGTATGTGTGGGGAAGTATTTGAAAATAAATACTTGAGAGGTGTGAGGGACTTACTATGCAGTTTCTTCACAGCTCTCCCGTAAAGAAGCCAAGTCTCCTAAAGGCCCCTCAGTTTGAGGCAGACCCTTTTGATTCTGGCTGTGAGAACTCTGAAGGTCTCGGGCCCTGCATGTCCTCCCTCAGCACTCTGTTGGGCACCGTGGCCGAGACCTCTGAGGAGAAGTACCGCCTACTGGACCAGAGGGATAGGATCATGCGGCAAGGTAATGATGTTACTGTGTTGTGCACTTTGGACCAGACGTTCCTTTTTGCTGTTTCGGATGGCAACAAACTCCTTGGTGAAATAGTCTGCTCTGCTATCAGGATGTGGGGCTGCTGTGTGGATCCCTACCCTCACTGCCCTCTGGTCTTCTTCAGTTGAACGTAAGCAGGGATATGATGCATGAGGTTTCAGATTTCATTTTAATTTTGAAAGAAAGCCTACAAACCAGTGCTCCATGATAAATTACACAAATTAAAAGACATTTTTTTCACATTCAGAAAGCACATGTCAAACATTTTCTGTTTGAAGAAATTATCACTAATTCAGAAAAACATCAAGCTAGGTGGGAAGTCTGTAATTTTTATCATAAAGAGCTCATTTCCTTGGCATGGAACGAACTAGCAGCCAGTCTGATGAAGGCCAAAGTCCAGAAGGAGAATGGGCAGTAGATCACTAAGCAGTTTCAGAGTGGACAAGGTTACAGGGAGGCTGCAGAGAAGGAAGTGTCAGGAACTAGCTCCGGAACAGATGGGAAAGATGCCTCCTTCACCCTCATAGTGAGAGAAGTGCATTTCTCACCTGTGGGGCTTTAGAGCCTGAGAGGCTGGCAGTGTGTTGGCAGAGCTTCAGGGTAGCAGCTGCCCTGCAGGAAGGCAGGGGGTAGACATGCAAATTCGCAAAAACTTCATAGAGCCCAGGCCCTCAGTGGCTTCATATCACAGGCACACCTGCATGTGCAGTGAGTCCTGCACAGGTTGTTTCTGATGGAAAAAGATTGGAAACTCAGGGATATCACTCAGTGAGGACTGGCTAAGTTGTGCTTCTGTGTACACATTGGGATCCTAACCAGCTTTAAGCAGAGAATGAGGATTCGTATTTTTGGGAAATTATTAAGATCTGTTGTGAAGTAAAAAAAGCAAGATGCCAAGACTATATAGTGTGCTGCCATTTGTGTAAAAAGGGTATCTGTGAGTGTGTTAGTGTGTGAGTGCATGTGTTTTATGTAAGTATATTTGCATACATGTGAGGTGATTGTAGTGAGGAGGAAGCTGAGTGTCTGAAGGCAGAGGTAAGGAGTTACTCCACTAGAAACAATTTTATACCTGTGGAATGTCAAATCCTCTGAATGCATTACCTACTCAAAGAGTGTTGAATTAGAATAAAGAAATAATGTTTTTGTTAAGTGCTGTTGAGTTGATTCTGACTCATAGAGACCCTGTGTAGGGTTTCCAAGGTTTGAACTACCAGTCTTTGAGTTTGCAGTCCAG